TAAATGTCTTTAAGAATATCTACATTCTGTTCCTGGTTTCTTTTTTTTAGTTTCAGATTATTATGGGGGTACAAAGGTTTTGGTAACATACATGGATTGCTTTTGCATTGCTTGAGTCGAAGTTAAAAGTGTGCCCATCACTCAGATAGTGTACATTGGGTGATTCTGTTAGGTATGATTTCACCCATCCCCTCTTCCCCACTTCCACCTGCATGATTTCTGTTGAGTTTTACTTCTGTCTGTGCATATGAGTGCTGATCGGTTAGCTCCAATTTATTAGAGAGTACATGCAGTGTTTGTTTTTCATTCTTGAGATACTTCGCTTGGGAGAATGATCTCCAGTTCCATTCAGATTATTGCAAAGGTATTAATTCATTTTTTATGGCTGAGTAGCACTGTGGTATACATACACCAATTAATCCATTCATGAACTGATGGGCGTTTGGGTTGATTCCATGTCTTTGAGATTGCGAATTGTGCTGCAATAAACATTCTAGTACAAGTGTTTTTTTTTTTTATAAAATGACTTTTTCCTTTGGATAAATACCTGGTAGTGAGATTGCTGGATCAAATGGTAGGTCTAATTTTAGATCTTTGGGGAATCTCCATACTATTTTCCATAGAGGTTACACTAGTTTGCGATCCCACCAACAGTGTATAAGTGTTCCTTTCTCTCCAAATCCTTGCCAGCATCTATTGTTTTTGGACTATTTGATAAAAGCCATTCTCACTTGGGTTAGTTAATATATCATTGTGGTTTTAATTTGCATTTCTCTGATAATTAGTGACATTGGCCATTCAACTATCTTCATTTGGAAAGCTTCTATTCATGTCTTTTGAACATTTTTTAATGGGATTGTTTGGTTTTTTTCTTGCTGATTTGCTTGAGTTCTTTGTATATTCCAGTTATTAGCCCTTTATTGGATGTATAGCATGTGAATATTTTCTCCCATTCTGTAGGTTGTCCATTTGCACTGTTGATTGTTTTCTTGGCTGTGCAGAAGCTTTTTAATTTGATCAGGTCCCATTTATTTATTTTTGCTGTTTCTGTGATTGCCCTTGGGGTCTTCTTCATAAATTCTTTGCCTAGGCCAATATCTAGAAGAGTGTTTCCAACATTTTCTTCTAGAATACTTATGGTTTCATGTTTCACAACGAAATTTTATTAGACCTACAAAGAAGAATCGGTACCCATACTGCAAAAATTATTTCATAACATTGAGAAGGAAGGAATTCACCCCAACTAATTCTATGAAGCTAGCATAACCTTGATACCAAAGCCAGGAAAGGACACAACAAAAAATAGGAGATACAGACCAATATTCCTTATGAATATAGATGCAAAAATCCTCAATAACATTCTATCAAATTGAATTGAGCAGCACATCAAAAAAAATAATCCACCACAACCAAGTGGGCTTCATCCTAGGAATGAAAGGATGGTTGGACACATGTAAATCCACAAATGGGATTCACTGCAAAAACAAAGCTCATATGGTCATCTCAATAGATGCAGAAAAAGCATTCAACAAAATTCAGCACACTTTTATAGAAATTCTTAACAAAATAGGCATAGATGGAACACATCTCAGAGTTATAAAAGGCATATATATATTATGTATATATATATATGACATATATGTCATATATATATATGACAAATCCACAGCCAACATCATACTGAATGGAGAAAAGTTGAAAGCATTTCTACATTCAGAACTGGAACAAGACAAGATACCCACTGTTAACACTTCTATTAAACATAGTGCTGGAAGTCCTAGCCAGAACAATCAGGCAAGAGAAGGAAATTAAGGCATCCAAATGGGAAACAGGAGGTCCAACTATTATTCTTTGTTGATGATATAATCTTTTATCTGGAAAACCCAAAGATTCCACTAAGAGACTCCTGGAATGGATAAATAGATTCAGCAAAGTCTCGGGTTACAAAATCAATGCACACAAATCAATAGCATTCCTATATACCAAAAACAGTCAAGATGAGAACCAAATCAGAGACTCAATACCTTTCACAATAGCAGCAAAGAAAATAAAATACCTAGGAATATATTTAACTAAGGAGGTGAACCTCTACAGGGAGAACTACAAAACACTGAGGAAGGAAATAGTAGTGGACATAAACATATGGAAAACCATCCCATACTCATGCATCAGTAGAATGAACATTTTAAAATGTCCATACTAACCAAAGTGATTTACAGATTCAGTGCAATCCCCATCAAAATACCAATGTCATTTTTCACAGATCTAGAAAAACTAATTCTGAGTTTCATTTGGAACCAGAAAAGAGCCCAAATAGCCAAAGCAACCTTAAGAAAATGGAACAAATCTGGAGACTGTTTAACCAGACTTTATACTACAAGGCTATAATAACCAAAACAGTAAGGTACTGGCACAAAAATAGAGATATAGACCAATGGAACAGAACAGAGAACCCAGATATAAAACCATCCACATATTGCCATCTGATCTTTGACAAAATAGACAGCGATATACACTGGGGGAAAGAATCTCTATACAATAAATTGTACTGGAAAATTGGATAGCCACTCATAGAAGATTGAAACAGGATCCATATCTCTCACTGCACACAAAAATTAATTCAAGATGGATAACAGACTTAAATCTAAGACATGTTCCCAGTCTATTTATCTGATCACATCTTTCATTCCTCACTTATACCAGTGTTCATTAGCCTTTTATTTCTTCTTCTTCTTCTTCAAGGAAACTAACTGTAGTTCTGTAGAGCAATGATTAGAATAAAGGGCTCAGAGGGACCTTACGCAGCTATGGTAAAAAATCTCCATGAACTCATGGTGATTCTGATACTCAGTGAAAGAAGTGCCTAACATCAACCCATATTGTAACTTGACCAGTTTGTCATTCAATTAGCATTACTTGAAATGTCTTTTCTCTGTATCATTGCTTATTTTGTACTTGTGACTTATTAAAATTATATGCAGTCTTCAAGGCCTTCCTCAAGTCTACTCCTGCACAAAGTATTTTCTGTCTCTTGCAGCAAGAAATACTTTTGCCACCTCTAAACAGGTTATATTAATCCTCGTCATAGGCTGTCCTACATACTTGTTTGGGAACTTGCCTTCTCTCTCCTACCAAGCTGTAAGCTCCCTCAGGGTAGAGTCTGAAAAGCACGGACCAGCCATGGTGGCTCACGCCTGTAATTCTAGCACTCTGGGAGGCTGAGGCAGGCGGATCACTCAAGGTCAGGAGTTCGAGACCAGCCTGAGCAAGAGTGAGACCCTGTCTGTACTAAAAATAGAAATTAATTGGCCAACTAAAAAATATATAGAAAAAATTAGCTGGGCGTGTGGTAGATGCCTGTAGTCCCAGTTACTCAGGAGGCTGAGGCAGAGGATCGCTCGAGCCAAGGAATTTGAGGTTGTTGTGAGCTAGGCTGACGCCATGGCACTCTAGCCCAGGCAACAGAGTGAGACTCTGTCTAAAAAAAGAAAAGAAATGAAAAGAAAAAGAAAATCACAAGTATCCCTGTATGTCACACAGTATCTTGACTAATTTCTTGCACGTCTAGATATCCAGGTATTCAGTAAATATCTGCTGGGTGAATTTTAGCCTATATTGTGCATGGATCCCTTTCAAAATCAGCTAAGCTGTCTATGAACAAGTAAAGATTTTCAATCTCTGGTAATTATAGCCAGGTATAAATTATATATTTCCATTATTATAGGTGGAAAGCCTTTGAGATAAATTAGAGAGAAATATATCAAAATGGGCCCATGGATATCTATATTATTGCTAATCTCTTCATTAATTTACATCTAATTTGGGGTTTTGAAGATAATCTATATAAGGACCAAGTACAGAATCAAATTGATGAGAAGAATAAAGCAACAACCTGAAGAAGATAATTGTAAAGAATAAGACTAAAATTGAGTAGATATTCAATAATACCAATAATAACTAGAGAAAAAAATGACTGCTGACATTTAAAGCTCCTACTGTGGTTCATGTATCGGACTAATAATTCATTTGATTTTCACCTTTAACCCTTATAACCATAAGAGCTAGGGTTGTTTGAGATAGTATAGTACTGTTACGTTCCTCATCTTACAAATGAGAAAATAGGTGTAAAGAGGATAAGTCTCTTGCCCTCCTCATCTTACTACTTACCCATAAATAGTAAAACCTGGATTCAAATCTGTCTGACTCCTAACTCTTAACCACAATTCTGCATTGACAGTATTTTAGCATGTTCATCCATCCATTTGTCCATCCATTCATTCATCCATTCAATACACATTAAGGAGTTCTGTGTGCTAGACACTATGCTGAATACTAGAAATAAAGAATAAAGCACACAGTATTGACCCTCAAGGAAATTATAGTCCACTGAAAGAGTCAGATAAGGATTTTCAGGAAAACTTATCCCACAGAGTTAACTCTTAAAGAAGGAGAAAGAAGCAAAAAAAGGAAGGGAAATATATTAAAGTCAGAAGAAATTACGTATATAAATACCAGAGGATTAATAGTGTACGGCATATGTAGGGAGCAGCTGGACCATAGTAGAGTGAAGGATGGTTGAGAAAGGTATAAAAAGGCTAGATTATGAGGATCAGCTAATTTGCATTTCCATTAAAGAAACTATACCATAAATATTTGCTTATATTCAGGGTGATAGTATTTATTGCCCAAATTGGTAGTATTTTTTGCTCCCTCCTAAGTGCAGGGAGTTGGATATGGAAAGGGTTGAAAGAATGGCAAATGAAAATGGTCTTAGTTCCTATAGATTTAGTTGTCTTAGCTCTCCTTTTAGAAAAATAACAAAACAAAAGGAAGCTTTAAACAAAATCTGGTACAAATACTTTATTTTTAATAATTCACTGTATTTCTAGAAAATTACTGATACTACTGAAAAATTAATATGTTTTAGCCACAATTTAGTTGTATAAAATAAAACATTTTATTACTTGAAAAAATTCAAAGGTTTTGTAATTTGCTTTTAGATCTAGAGGATGGCCAAAAACAAGCTATGGTTAGTGAACGGACAGAAGCCTTTACCACCGCTCGAAATTTACTGGCCTCAGGAGCTGATGCTATTGAAAGGATTATGTCTTCATACAAAGAGGTACTTGAATTTTTCTTTTTCTTTTTTTCAGAGACTAGGTCTCACTCTGTCGCCCAAGGTGGAACTTCTGGGCTTAAGCGATTTTCTCACCTCTGCTCAAGTGATTCTCGCATCTCTGCATTCTGAGTAGCTAGTACTACAGGCATGTAACACCATGCCCAGCTATTTTTTTGGTTGTTTTTGTTTTTTTGTAGAGATGATGTTTTGCTATATTGCCCAGTCTGGTGTTGCATTTCTTGTTGTCAATTTAATGAAAATAAAATTTATGAGAGTCGAGCAAAATGTAAATTACCAGGTACATTTAGTATTTTAAAAACATATCTTTTCTCTCCCCAAAATTGCTGAGTATAATCAAGATTAATGGCAGCAACTCCTAAGTGTAATGCTACTAATCCCCTTTCATTTTTACACTATCTATCGTTAATCCTCTTTTTCTATCTATAGTATGACATATTTGTTTTTAAATTTTAAAGAAACCCTCAGGTGTGCACTCTGGAGTCAGAGGGCCTAAATTTACATTCTTGCTCTGGAATTTACAAATTATGTGACCTTGGTCAAGTTCCTTAACCTGTCTGTGTCTCTGTTTCCTCATGTATAAAATGGGGATGATGGTAACACTGATTTTGTAGTGTTGTTGTGAGTTAATACATGTAGAATATTAAACACAGTACATATTAAACTCTCAATAAATATTAGCTAATAATGTTACTTATACATCTTGCAAACTTTTACCCATCCTTCATTGAAGTCTCACAACCACATATAAAACCTTTCTGCCATTCCACATTCTTCCCTGCAGAGTTTAGGTCTTCTTTCCTTGTTCATCGCTGTGTACATCTAGTGCTTTACCACATTATAATTGTCTATCTCCTGCACCAGACCCTGAGCTCCTTGAAAGCAGAACCTGTCTTATTCATCTTTACATGCCTAATATTCATTTTAATGCTTGGAATATTATATGTGGTTAATAAATGTTTGTTGATACCCTTGCTATAGTTACCATAAAAGAAAAAAAAAAAGAAATAAAAAAAAAAAAAAAATAAAAATAAATGTTTGTTGAAAAAAATAGAATTAATAATAAGACCTGCAGATAAAAATCACTTAATTCCAATCAGATGTTATATAATGTTCCCATAAAAGTCATTCTCACTATTAATTATTCTTGAAGCTTTCATATAAATATAAATTGCCTGAGCATCATTATAAATTTAACTACCTATTAAGTCAGCCTTGAAGAAACTATATATAAAAGTTACAAATTTTATGATTTGCTGACAGAACTTTTGAGTCTGTAACAACTGATTTGTTGAATTGTTTCTCTTTTTAAGTAAAATCAGTTGATCAGGGCCATGTACCAAGCAACTCAATTTAAAAAAAGAAAATTCAAATAGTAATTTTGATAATTTGGAGACATAGTCTTTGGGATAGATTTTTCAAAGTAATAAATTACTTAATATTAAAATTATATAAGAAATCAAAATTTTGTTCATCTCACATTAGAATACTCTGCTGTCTAAATTACAGAAAGGATATCAATCAGTTTTTCTAGATTGTCTGCAACTCAAGAAATGATTGTATTTTGCTTTATTTTGCCTGAATTTGCTTTCAGTCATGGAATGTGCACTTCTAAAAAGTCTTATACTGCTGTGATAGCACATGAAAATGCCCACCATGCCTTCTCTGCCAGCTCTAGATGGACCAAGCTTCCTTTTTAGAGTTAGGGTTCTGGGCAAATTCCCTGTCTTGTACACTACTAACTCATTGCCTTCCACCTTTCTTGAATTGACTTCTGCTTTTGGTTTGGGAATTCTTTTTCTATGCAAATATTTATATTTGCTAAATTTTCTTTTGAATCCATATTTTTTTAATCTTTAGCTTTGTTTTTCTCTACTTGGGAATTCAAAGAGATTCTTATAGATAACATTTTAGAAATTATTCTTTAAATAGCTATAATATTAACATATGGTAATGAAATAATAGTGTAATTACTGATCTCTCACTCAGTAGAGACACGTGGTAGGGGGCTTTTAACAACAATACCTACTTATTTGCATTTGCTGTTTAAGTTTTGCACACACAAAAATCGTACACAAATGTCAGCATTGTTGTATTATTCTGTAATTTATTAAGAAACATTTATTAGTGACATGCTTTGCTTATTGGTACCAGTTCCTACTTTTGTGTATTCTTTTTCATTGAGCAAGATGGTCTTGATAAGAAGTGAGTCACCCTTCACCCTGACAACAAGCTGTTCTCTATTTTTTTTTTTGAGACAGAGTCTCACTTTGTTGCCCAGGATAGGGTGCGTGCCTTGGCATCAGCCTAGCTCACAGCAACCTCAATCTCCTGGGCTCAAGCCATCCTTCTGCCTCAGCCTCCCAAGTAGCTGGGACTACAGGCATGTGCCACCATGCCCGGCTAATTTTTTGTATATATATTTTTAGTTGGTCAATTAGTTTCTTTCTATTTTTAGTAGAGACAGGGTCTCGCTCAGGCTGGTTTTGAACTCCTGACCTCAAGCAATCCACCCGCCTCAGCCTCCCAGAGGGCTAGGATTACAGGTGTGATGGGTGTTCTCTTAATAGAAAAACAGCAGAAGGTTAGTCCAAATTAGACAGCTGGCAGAATGAGAGCGAGGCACAATTCCATTGAGCCTTATGGACTAAAGCAGAGATTTATCTTATCTTGTAATCTTACCTGAAAAACAATAGTATATTTAATGTTTTTCTTTGGGCATATAAATCATGTTTGGCTTCAAAAGAAGCTGGATTGTGGGATTTGTACTGAAAAGGATTTGAAGCTTTTCACTGAATGCACTCTCTATAATGGTTTCCTGCAGCATGGGTATTTTCTCTGGCCAAACATAGGAATTTATGACAATCAGTTTGGCTCAGAAACATTCATTTCATAATAAGAAAAAAAAGATACTTTTCTTCTACTTCAAATGTTCTGCTTTAAATAGAAAAAAATATAACGAAGATTATAATTTCATTGAATGACCTTCAGCTTTTCACAAAATTTTTAATTTTCTGAAAATAAAATTTATTATTTAAACAGGCCGAATCAGAAATTTGACTGAAGAATTCTTAAGTCTCACTAGTACTCTTTATAGTTCATTTTGAACCCTGACTTGAATGAATAATTTTTATATTTTATAATTCCAGTCAAACTTACATTGAAATACTGCTGTATTGCTCTTTTGGTAACCTTTTTGCTGCCATTTGTTTTAGTTTTCAGATGCATTATCTATTTCTCATGTATAATAAAATAGTATCTTTAACATTAAATCAAGACGCATATATAATTACATATTTAGTTAAAAACTTGTCTCAGGTATATTAACTCTTTTATCTCCATGTTGATTTTAGATCACTGAATTAGCAGGCTATACTGCTCGAGTGTACAATATGTTTTGGGTCTTTGATGAAGTAAAAAGAGGCATTTATAAGAGAACTGCTGTCATTCAAGAGACTGAAAACCATAGTAAGAATGGAGTTAATGTAGAATTACCTCTTGCTGACACATTGGCAATCAAAGGTATGGACTCAAATGTTTTTATATTTTTTCCTTATGTAAGTATTTATCAATAGAACCAAAGTTTTTTAGGAGATAACAATTAATAATTACAAATAACTAATATTTAGATAACCAACATTATTTAAACAGCAATAATGTTTAATAATACTCCTAATACTAGTATCGCAATTTGAGGGATGGTGACTAACATAACCATTTAAAAAACGATTTTATGCTACTTTTATTTAGGACAACATTTTCAGAATAATTTTTGGAAACTGCACATGTGACAGAATGAATTGATGGCTTTTAAAGTTCAACTAACAAATGGAATTAGAACTAATGCTATGCTGTTCATTTCCCTATGTTTCTAAACTTCTTTGATTTTCAATATATATATATATATAAAAGGTATATCTCATCATTAATGAGGATAGAAGATGAAGAGACAGGATTTTGTGTATTTGACAACCAATGATGTTGAGTTGTTGATGATTTGGGATTTCATTAGCAATAAATCTTATCTATAATCTTTGAATAAGGCCTAGATTTTCTTTTATCAATGCTGCATTATTTATAGCTTTCCTAAAGTGAAGTGCGAGTAAGTTACATTATTAATAGGAAAAGTCTTGCTCCAACATATAATGAGATGTAAGTATTTCTTATCATAATTTAGGAAGATTTCAGGTTCCCAGCTGCAATAAGCAACCTGAACCCAGATGAGCCATGATGACCTTAATAATAGACAGGTTTTTGTTTATGAAACGATCTCTAGCATCTAAGAGTCTGCAAACCTAATAATAAAATACGTGCGCCCAGATGGATAAATAATTATTTTATCCTGTTTCATTAACATACATATTGAGGAGGACGACAATTGGTACCTTTCATTGAGACAGTACACATTTTTTTTCCATGCACACTACATGCCGATTATTATAACCAGTCATATCAACCATTTTCATAAAATACTCTATTTTCCCCATGAAAGTAACAATTATGTACATTTGATCAATCCATAAAAGATCCATCTTCTACCCAACAAGTCTCTCAAATAACAAAAAGTGAATACCAGGGAATTATATAAAGCCTGTTTTTATGACTTATAAAGTTCATACATAAGTCTCAACTCCATATGAATTTTCATTTTGCTGCAAATGTAGTTACCTATATTCTATTATATATTCATGCAATAAAATATTAGATATGACATTCATTATGAGAATACTCCTAAGAAGAAATGTTTAAACTACCTACTGCAAATAGTTTGAAATAGTTGTATATAGCTTTCTTTAACTCATAAAATGTAAGAATATTATTCAAATTACTTTAAATCAGCACTTTAGACTGTAAAATAAATACTACATTTATTCTTAGTTTACTTATGCATTAAATAAATGCTTTTTGTAAGGATAACAGTTCTAAAAACTTTAAATGTCCATACAAATTTTCAGTTTCTAAGCCATATTATCAAAGTAAATGACTTTAACTATAATATTAGAACACATGTTTAGCCTTAAAATTAGACTTCTCATTCTTATTTTATCCTTAACGTAGATTGTAGTTGATCTTTCTGCTTAGGCAACAGTAAATTTCATAACTAAGAAAAACTCCCAAATGATTTATATGTTGCAAAATAAGTAGTTAGGTCTCTCAGCAGGCAAAGACTAGAATTTCTCACTTTCTTATGTTCCGGAAATGTCTTATGTCCTCAGGTTAAAGCTGTATTCAAAACTGTAGCTAAAAATATAAAATGATTTATGGGTTCTTATTGCATTAAGAGAATTTAATTATATGAATAACGGCATATTTCTTCATGATTCTATGACTTCAACCTAAAATAAAAATTAAACTGTCTACAAAATATTAATGTCTGAAATATAAACTTTTGCCATATAATAGCCTTTTAGAATCAAAAGTTTCACAAAGGACTCTAAAGCAGTGCCAGAAAGAAACAATGCTTCTGGTGCACAAGATACTACTGTGTCGACATGATATCTCCACTTGCTCACGTCCACATTCTTACCAACAGTTCAATACAGCCAATACAATCTCCACACTCCAGAGCAGCTTTCTACTGTTATCATACGTTCACTTATAAAACAAACAAAAAAAAACAAAAACCCAAATCTCCTCTTTCTAACTACTAAATATGGTCTAAAATGAGATCAGAGGGCAATATGGTACAGGCACTTTCTAAGAAGGAAAAGGGGTGAAAGAGACAATGATACACCGTATCCAGTAAATTCTATATTTGCTCTGGTGCTGAATTTCCACCTAGGGTGCTGTTCGAGTCCACAGAACGGTCCTCTGGCACTGTGGAAGTACTCTGTGTGGTGTCTACTTAACCATCTGATGACAGATGGAAAAATTACTGGGGCTAGATGCACATGAGACGTCTCTTCTTCAGACTTTATTTCTCTCCTCCACAGAGTATTCCAAATTCAAGTGTATAACTTTGTGTGGAGACATTTTAAATTGTTATGAGGGAAGACAGCTAAAGACTTCCAGATGGAATAATGTTCTTTTTTATGCTTACATGATACTCACTGTCACAGTAAACAGTTTTCATTAAGGTAGCTGCAAATCGTGAATTAATCCTATAGCATAATTGTATTAAATATAAAGATATTTTTACAGAGGATCTTAATCATATATGAAAATTTTAGAATATATGAATATATATGCAGCTTGATGGAGAGAGCTGTATGCTATCCAAATAGTATTTTTTCTATAAGAACAGATCATCTGACACCTCAGGTAATCTAATTATTCTTGGAACAGCCTGCTTGCTATCCTTGAGACTAATATGTTCAGTTTTGTGTATACATTACATCCAGAACAGATGTGAAAATGAAAGAAGTGGTATTGTCCTAGACACAATTTATAATCAAAGCAGTAATAGAACCTTTGGGAAAATTGAATTTTATTTCTTTAGCTTTTCTCAATGAAAACATCCTTAAAGATATATAAACTGAAGAGCTTGAGGAATCAAAATAATTCAAGAGCAAAAGGAAATTGTTTCCTGTGGTATACAAAAATTCACCTACTTTGTGGAATATAGAACAATGTTTGAGGAGGTGTTTATAGAGGCTCCTTCATACACAGGCCAGAGCCCACTTAAAATCTGAAGAGAGAACTTTTCCCACAACCATTGGACCAGTTTATCAAGATGCATTCCTTCTTGTACCTAAAGTAAGAAGTAAAATTACAAACTGCAATATTTATTATTCTCTTTTGGCAGCATTTAAAAGCCATTTTATTTTTTAAAAAAACTTTCAAAATGCATGATAACCTAGGATGGGCAAGAAATCAAAAGAATAATCAGGGTTTAGAACATCAAGTTTGGCTTTTGATTATTCTCTGAAGCTAAAAGCATCATAAGATAATTCAGTTCCAAAAAATGTATCTTCTTGGCAGATCACTGGCTTCCAAATTTTAATTTAGGTCTTGTTATTAGATAATCACACAGATGGAGAAATACAACTACGTGGGAAATAAGACATAACAATTAAAATTAAATATATAATGTATTTTATTCATATTAATAATAATTAAACTTATATTGAATTCAAAGACAACTGAAAGTCAACTGGAGTTATTGGCTACAAAGCACAGTTATCCAAAGAGCCAGATGGGTTGTTTAATTTTGTACCTCAGCAGTCTGAAATGCTACAGAAATTACAAAAGCCCATCAGAGAGAGGAAGATGATTCTAATTCTGCTTTATTTCATAGATGCAGAAAATATGTTTACCAAAACCAAGACCAAGGAAAGTAGAAGACTGTAATTTAGTCTTACGTCTAGGGATGAATTAAAATACACGCACACACACAAATAAGAATATTGTACATAATACATATGAATATTATACAAATAATATTCATCAGTAAAACAAAGATTATCCATTAATCTATTGGATGCTTCCCTTTATCTTCTATCTTATTTATCACTTAAATTTAATTGTTAAATTTCATGAGTTCCATTCTACAAAAATATACATATATAATATATAGTAATCACATATATTTTATTTTTTATTTTTATTTTTTATTTTTTATTTTATTTTTTTTTTTGAGACAGAGTCTCGCTTTGTTCAGGCTAGAGTGAGTGCATGGCGTCAGCCTAGCTCACAGCAACCTCAACTTCTGGGCTCACCAATCCTCTGCCTCAGCTCCCAAGTAGCTGGGACTACAGGCATTCGCCACATGCCGCTAATTTTTTGTATATATTAGTTGGCAATTAATTTTTTCTATTTATAGTAGAGACGGGGGTCTCGCTCTTGCTCAGGCTGGTTTCGAACTCCTGACCTGACAATCCGCCCCCTCGGCCTCCCAGAGAGCTAGGATTACAGGGGTGAGCCACCGCGCCCGGCCCACATATATCTTTAGACCTTCTAATTGTATAAGATACTTTCACTAGATTAAGTATTTTAGTGCATTATATGAAAGAAACAAACTCTAAACATTTCCACAGAAAAATTGTGATGTGCCTACAACAATAATATTTGTCAGCCAGAATTCAAGATATACTCTATGTTTATTTAACAAATGGAGCAACAGGAATGATATTATAAAACTAAGTCTGACCAAAAGCCACCTCTACACAAAAGTCATAAATTATAAATCATTAACTATTAATGACAATAAATATCCTATGATGCATGAGTACCTAATGGATTTTGGTAAGATCCTAACAGTTAAACATTCTATAGGTCTAAAAATGGAAGAATAAAGTCTGACAAATGTAGTTAAGACACAATTTCTCGTAAATTTACTAACCCAGAATTTCCCTTGTTCAGTCCTCTTATGCTCTTCTTTCACTTCTAGCAACTCTTTATTCGCAAATACATCTTTAAAATAATAACTTTAGGTCCATATAAAATCATTAGCACATGTATTGTCAATGTTGTAATCTATTATCAAGTCAATCACGTCTTTCTTTGAACTAAGCTCACCTGCTTCATTATAGTTTTTAATGCTTACCAGCAAATTATTTGGTACTTGAAATGTAATTTGAATTTATAATAATTTAAATCAGGACTCAGTTTATTAGAATTTTACTTATTAGTTTTTGTAATCAAGGCATAGGGTATTAAATAACAAATTATTTATTCTCAACATAATTAAAAATAAATTCCAATCCATGAATCTTCTGATTATTTTCATAATGTAAATAATTATTAAAATAGAAATTAAAGTTAGAGAGAATGTTTATTAACAGAATTAACTTTGCTAGTTACTCTACCCTCATATTTTAGTAAATATGTTTTACAAAAACAGTAAAAGCCTGTATTTTTTAGTATTCTATAAGGAAAATTAAAATTTATTTCCAGATATTATGTCAGAGTATATTTAATGTTCCCCAAAGTTACCTTGTACAGGCTCTTACTGCACTGTAATTTTGATTTTCAACCTGGCATATAAGCAGTAGAAATCAAATTTCTCTTTTCTCTCTGCTTTCGAGGAAGTACTGCTTCTTAATTGACCACTGTGCCAAACTTTCTTGATTTCCCCTCTTCTCCATATGCTCCTCCAAGTATTTAACATAAGGTACATGAATTCTGATTGTTTTGTATTAATGTGTGGCAAACATCAGAAGATTCTTGAATATCATCTTACTTTGAAGTTTAGCCTGGAACCACACTTCTCCCGCTGGGTAATTATGGGAACTTTTCCAATAATTCCATGATCACATCAATAACTTTTCCTAAATAAGGAAAAGTTTAAGTTACAAAGATCATATGTTGTGATTAAAAACTTCAGTATAATGCAACATAACAGATAAGTTCAATTATAAGATAATTCACAGTATAAATACATCATATAAACACGTAATATAACATCTATATTTGAAGCAACTTTAATTTGTATATTTTTGCACATTATTGGAAATACTTGTGAGAAACATTATTTTGTAATAATCTAGATCCATTACAATAGCAAAGCATAACTTAATCTGTTAAACGCAGTCAGACTTTTATAAACCTATTCTATTCTAAATAACTTTTCCTGCAGAAAAAACCAGTGCTGCAGAAAGGAAATTAAGACAGGAATAATGCAGTGTTAAGGCCGAGTGGGCAGATTGCTAAAGTCAGGATTCGAAACCAGCCTGAGCAAGAGCGAACCTGTCTCTACTATAAATAGAAAGAATTAATTGCCCAACTAATAAATATAGGAAAAAATTAGCTGGGCATGTGGTGCATGCCTGTAGTCCAGCTACTCGGGAGGCTGAGGCAGTAGGATTGCTGAGCCAGGAGTTTGAGGTTGTGCTGAGCTAGGCTGACGCCACAGCATCACTCTAGCCTGGGCACAAGTGAGACTCTGTCTCAAAAAAAAAAAAAAAAAAAAATATATATATATAGTATATATTAAAAATCAAGAGTTA